TGTGGACTGTCCTCGGCGGGGTTTTCCTTTAGGTCTCCTTGGGTATAGTTTGCCCCAGTTGCAAACGTTTCAATCCCAGTCTGGTTCCTCATTGGGGATCGCGGTCCTTGTTGGCCCGCGTGACGACCGATGCGGTTTAACAATATTTTTCGTTGTGCCATCATTTTCATTATTTCGTACTTACCCATACGTGTCTTATTATTATTAGTAGTAGTATTAGTATTAGTATTATCTTAACACCGTCCATTTAACTTAGATATTATTGGCCATTGCTGGTGATAATGGAGAGCCCATTGCTAAGCCCTCATCCTGCCGATATATGTGTGATCTCATTCCGAAGTGTGTTGTTTGTGTACAGAAAGTCAACATGTCTATCAGATTATCTACTGAGAGTGCCTCCTCCGTGGGTACCTTGGTGAACAAACTCCACGTCCAAGGTCACCATCTGGCTGGATAGGATGGGGGCATTTTTGATTATTTCTGGAGTTTCGGACATATGAAGTGTCTGTCAACCAATTTTTATCTGGATCGCATTTTTGGAATTAAAATTTCCTTGCACTTTAGCAAATTTTGTGTGATAAAAAGTACATTTAAAAATTAAAAATAGAGAGACCTTTAAAGGGATATAAGCGCGGATTCGAAGTCAGAACATTATCATTGATAACTCTCTCCTCTAATTTGCGGAGTCTAATACTGTATTCTTAATAAAATTATGACAATGATAAAATCGTCAATAATTATTTATAACTATTTCTACTGGGATTCATGAACGCAATTACAAGTAATCCATAATAATATTTTAAATTTTGAAATCATATTTATATTTGACATATGAATTTTAAAAATCTGTTTCTAAATATTTGTATTTTCTTTCAATCATTCCGCCTCAACTGTTATCCTCTTTCGCCGCACCTATGAGGCGCGCCACACCGTTTGGGAATCATTGTACTAAGGAGAGAGGTGGAAAGTTTAATCTCAGACATTTTCCAACATACATGTCTCAAACATTTCCTCGTTTTCAAAATTCTTCAAAATTTCAGAATACATGGAAATCTATCCAGTAAATCGTTGAAATTAGTCCTCGACGACATAACATTTATTTACTATCCAGGTTTGGTTTGGTTCGTTTTGTTTTACCGCATATCAACCTCAATGGGTTATTTAATGCCGACAAAATTTTTATTGCTGGTAGTATTTGGTTTTGTTAAAAATCTATTTCTGGTAATAACTTTTTCTTTCAATAATGTATAGCTGGTAATAATTTTTTCTTTCAATAATGTATAGCTGCTAATAATTTTTTCTTTCAATAATGTATAGCTGGTAATAACTTTTTCTTTCAATAATGTATAGCTGGTAATAATTTTTTCTTTCAATAATTTATAGCTGGTAATAACTTTTTCTTTCAATAATGTATAGCTGGTAATAATTTTTTCTTTCAATAATGTATAGCTGGTAATAACTTTTTCTTTCAATAATGTATAGCTGGTAATAATTTTTTTCTTTCAATAATGTATAGCTGGTAATAACTTTTTCTTTCAATAATGTATAGCTGGTAAGAATTTTTTTCTTTCAATAATGTATAGCTGGTAATAACTTTTTCTTTCAATAATGTATAGCTGGTAAGAATTTTTTCTTTCAATAATTTATAGCTGGTAATAACTTTTTCTTTCAATAATGTATAGCTGCTAAGAATTTTTTCTTTCAACAATTTATAGCTGGTAATAACTTTTTTCTTTCAATAATGTATAGCTGCTAAGAATTTTTTCTTTCAATAATGTATCGCTGGTAAGAATTTTTTTCTTTCAATAATGTATAGCTGCTAATAATTTTTTCTTCCAATAATGTATAGCTGGTAATTTTTTTTTTTTTCAAAAAAAGTATTGCTGGTAATATTTTTTCCACAAAAATGTACAGCTGGTAATATTTTTTTCTTTTTCAAAAATGTAATTTTTTTTCTTCAAAAGTTTATTGCTGATAATAATTTTTTTACAAAGTATTTCTGCTATTAAAACCTATTTTTACACTTTCATAGTGTCTTTAGCCCATTTTCGGGGTTAACTCTTTGCCCATAGCACCTAACAGGTGCTACCACCCCGGATCAGGCTGAACCTGGGAACACCAACATTTCCACGCTCCTCAAAACCTCCTGATCAGAGGCCTTGCTGCTGGACGTACTTTATCGTCTTACCCAGGACGCGGATGTAGTTTTTCGTCATACCCAGGACGCCCAATTGGGGGGGGGGATCTTACCTTTCTGCAGAGGTGCAGTCGGCGTATTCTACAGCCCCAGCCGACAGGGCGACTATTATCCAGGAGAAATCATTCTAGTCTGATTACTTTCAGGTATACCCGGAATACTTCATACGTTACTCTGCCTTCTAACGGATATGGAACCCAAATTCTCGTCTATCCCCAGCTATGACCTGCTGAACGAATTTGTCTTCTCGTTATTGATTCACCGCCGTCTAATTAAGCACTTGATACATCAGATTTCAGCTTTCCTTTACCGGCAAAATTTTACTTTCACATGAGGTTGTTATTACTGTCTATATCTATCTCTTTCCTTTACCATATGGGATTTGTTGATGATGAAGTAATTTAATTAGGAAATAATTTAATTAGAATAATCTAGGAATTATAGTGGGGATTAAACAACTTGCATAGGATTAGAAAATTAACTAGCTACACAGAAATAGATTTATTCAGTGAGGTGACTCTGAGAGAAGCAGAAGTCCTACCAGGATTTAATATACGTGACCACAAGCTTAACACATTATATGAAAATTAAAATGGGTTGATCATAGATGCCGTAATAACACTCTTAGAAATAAAAATGCCATGATGTTAATTGCGAAATCGAGACGAAAAAATCATGTCCAAAAATAAAAATATCTGGAAATTGTTTTAAAGGTGACACCGGGATCAGAACGCGCACTGGAATTATAATTCTCCGAGACGAATCGAACCTGTATCCTATACGGACCGTCATATAGCCTGACGTGCCTTTAACCGATTGGGCCACAGAGGAGCGTTCGGTTAGCACGGTCGATTTTACTGTCTTTAAAGTACAACCTTCCATGATTCTCTCATATATATATATATATATATATATATATATATATATATATATATATATATATATATATATATATATATATATGCTGATGTATATTGGACTATTTTAGCAAAGAAAAGCAAACTAGTTACAACAGAGATTAAGTGCCACAGAAGGATTCTGGGGATACCACGGAAAGGTCGTGTGAGTAAAGTGAAAATTTTGAGGAAAATGGACACAACATGGAGGTTCGATACTTACACTATTGTATAAATAATTTGAAACAAAACGAAAAATCCCGTTATTATTTACTTTTTTCGTATTTTTCTAATGTAATATGACCCACTACACATGTTAGTACTTTGTAAGTACAATCCACAAAGTTGTTCCTTGCAGATTAACCACACATTCTTGAATAGATTTAAAACAAGAGAGTTTCCAAGCCAATCGATAGTACTTTGACTTGTTCTCTGGTAAGGCTTTCCAGTGTATTCCTGCAGCGTTACAATTTTCGTACTCCTCCTTGGAGTAATGTCCACCGCAGACAATGACCGTAGGACAACTAATCGACAGTCGAGACAATGGTGTCTGGGCTTGATGCAAGGACGGATGGCACAATATTTTTCAAAGTCAAACAAATTTTATCTACATTCAGAAAATAGATCTATATTACTGCACACCACTGCAAATGACCTGAGCTGAGGAAAAATTAGAAATCGATTACACCCTATCACTCCAGTGAATCTAAAACTGACAGTATTATGGAAGAAAGGAAACTAAAACGGCTGTTTCAATTAATTTGCAGAAGGTTGTAGAATCAGAATGTGATATTTTAAGTTTCGTAGGCACATAATGAGCAAAATGCTTTGATAATTTGACGCTCACGGGATACATTAAAGCAATAAAACCAGACGGGAAATGAAAGTAACATGATTGCGTAAATGAAGGTCAGAATAAAAAAGCAGGTGAGATAGTAAAGAAAATAATCATTGGAATGAGGTCCAAGTTGCGGAGAGCCATGCTTACCTGTGCATTGAAAGGATACGACACTTCGAAGAAGGTATGTAACCCACTTTCATTTCTCTGAGCTTGCGTCCACATCACGTTTGAAACACCATTTCCCGTTAAGCAACGTCGAGTCTGGCCAGTACCTAGATGGGTAACCACTTGGAAATACCAGGTGATATAAGCTTGGATGTGTGCATGGTGTAATTTATAATGACTCAGAATTGTTAATCGGAGAGCGGAGTTCTAATTCCAGTTGGATTCGTTATATTCATTTACGCGCATTCTAAACAATTCCTGGATTAAAACAAGTGATTTGGGAGAATTTTTTTATTTAAATTAATATAGAAATTTGTAAAATGGTTTTATAGAAGAGTTCAGCGTTGTATTGTTCCTGAAGGGGAGCATTTCAACATGTTACATAGTTTGGTAATCATCAAACTGTTGATTTGATATGACAGTATAATACACTTTCTTAAACGATCGTAATTGTTTTTGTTCAAAAGTTAATAAATATAAACGCGTTAATCTTGCCGTCCCCTGTAGTATGAAGTGATTTTTCCATATATTAATATAATAATTGGAAAACTCTCGAATTCGCAACTGGGCTGTTAATTTGATATTGCAAAATTAGGATATTTCATGGGAATAACTGCTGTTTGCTTAAATCTGCGCAGAATGAACATAGTTTTATCTTAAATGCACATGTTAACTTCATTTCATATATCGATTTAACATGAATGACTGATAATATGTGAACCTGTGTAGATGGATGTATACACACACACACACACACACACACACACACACACACACACACACACATATATATATATATATATATATATATATATATATCATAAAAATCGATACGACGTAACTGAGATAGATAGATATAAAGTTCTGAACAGACTAATAGCTAGATATAAAAAGAACAGACTGAATAGATAGATAGATAGATAGATAGATAGATAGATAGATAGATAGATAGATAGATGTGAACAGACTGAATAGATAGATAGATAGATGTGAACAGACTGAATAGATAGATAGATAGATAGATAGATAGATATTAATAGACTGAATAGAAAGATAGATAGATAGACAGATAGATAGATATGAACAGACTGTATAAAGATTCTGATAGAACAGACTAATAGCTAGATACATATAAAAGAACAGACTTAATAGATAGATAGATAGATAGATAGATAGATAGATAGATAGATCGATCTGAACAGACTGAAGAGATAGATAGATAGATAGATAGATAGATAGATAGATAGATAGATAAATTATGTTGAACATGATATCAGAAAATTGAATGTTTTAAGGAGCGGTTCCAAGTAAGAAGCTATGCTCGACAACCCAACAAGTGCGCAGCCAGAATCACGGATGCAAATGGGGTGAGAGTTCAAACCTTGGTGCGTTCAGATCGAAGATTAGTTTTCCTAGTAACAGAAGAAGACAGCAGCATCATTTACTCATTCAAACTGCTCCCCTATTCTTATTCCTCTCTTCAAATGTTACTAGGAAAATTACTCTTCTTGATTCCTGTTCGTTATTTTTCTCTAGCCTTAATAATGTTATTTTTCACGCACTTCTAACATGTGTAATTTTCTTACGGCTCATTGCTTTCTAGCCAACTTCAATGTGCAAAAATGTAAATAAATACAATGTCAATCATTATCTTTCTTTCTTTCCGATTACTTTTCTTTCGTTCTTAGTCCTTAGCAATGTTTCTTCTGTTCTCTCTTTCTTTACTGCCTTACTTGGGATAAAAAAAGAACATGTATATCCTAATTTGGGGTGTATTTAGGAAATTTCTGTTACAATTATATACGCAAACACACACATTCACACTCACTCACTCACTCACACACACACACACACACACACACATATATATATATATATATATATATATATATATATATATGTGTGTGTGTGTGTGAAAAGTGAATGCAATTTCTTCCAGTTTACAATAACTATTAGCTAATACCTAAATAGCATTGTCTCCAATCCTTTGAAACATCATATCATATAAACCCGTTATTAAATTAAACAGCACCATATAAATTAAACAATAAGGATTACAATTTTTTACCTGTTACATATACACAGTCACCAAAAACAAACAAATAACCAGCTTTAAATATAACAAATAAACCCCCATTTTTTTCAAAAATTTAAAAATAAATATAAATAATTATAATAATAATTTTTACCTATCATAATTTTACACAAACCCCACCACACGTATATACATACATGCGATAAAATATTTTTTAAAATATTTTTAAACGGAAAAAAAAAAAAAAAAAAAAAAAAAAATTTCATAATATGACATGGATACATTCACGAGGCAATAACGAGACATTTCCGCCACACTTCCAATGTTTAAATTTCAACATTTCAACATACAAATGCGTATGTATAGACATAACACCACCCGTATACATACATGTGTCATAGCCGAAACTGTCTACATATGTTTATATATATGTATGAGTCCCGACGGACGACCAAGTATGTATATGTATATGCGTCTGCATACATCGATGTTTGCGTTAGTACGATGAATGACAAAACGACGGAATTTCCCCACCACTTCCACAATAACACCAATACACGCAATCTACATAAACCCAAATTTTTAAAACATTAATCAGTTTGTCTGACGATCGCTAAAAGCGTGAAACCCAGGGTCACAAACTCACATCTATCCAACCAAATATATATATATATATATATATATATATATATATATATATATATATATATATATATATATATATATACAAAAAATAAGTTTAAGACCTATGGTTAAAGTTTTATTCATTTCAGAATATGTTTCTAATAAAACAATATGAATTAGTTTTATTGTCTACGCTTTATACAGAATGTTTCCCCCTTTTGAATGATCTACAACTTGAAAAATTTTAATGTTGGATTAATTTAAATTATCCAAATTTTCAGCAAAATAAATTTAAGATCGATAGTTAAAGTTTTTTGTTCATTTCAAAATATGTTTCTAATAAAAGAATATAAATTAGTTTTATTGTCTACGCTTTATGCAGAATGTACTTCTCTTTCGAATGATATAAAAATTGTATATTTTTTTACAAATTGAAAATTTTTAAAGCTGGATTAATTTAAATTATCCAGATTTGGCGTCAAAATAAGTTTAAGACCGCATGGTTATTATGCAAATTATTTGCTAAATGGCTGCTCATTAATGCATGATATTGTGTAATAAATGAGCATTGTTATACAATCAATTCACTATGGGAAAGCATCGTAGTCTTAGCTCAGTGACGAGATTAATAATAGTGTTACACCATCAACAAAATGTTTCCTTTATGAACACAAGTAAGCAATTAAAGTGTAGCAAAGTGACTTGTGTTCAGACTTGGAAGCTTTGTCATGCTACTGGACAATATAAGGATAGGAAAAGTTTGGAAGCCCCAAGTAAAACAACAGTGCAACTGGATAAACGAATTCATTGGCTTTCCGAAGCTAAATGAATGCTGACACCCGTGGACATTTCCAGCCAATTATCTGGTAAAACTGGCATTAGTTTTACACCGCAAACTGTCTAAGAGATTTGGATTAGTCAGGTGCATAACTAGAAAAAAGCCAATTCTTCTGGACAGGAATCAACTCAAGCGGCTAAATTTTATAAAAGGTCACATTCAATGGACGGTCGAGGGTTGGTGTAGATTTCTATGGAGTAACGACTCACGCTTTCGCATCTTTGGATCGGATAGATAAAGCTGTGTCAGACAGCGCCCAACCGAGGAATTCTATCGTAAATGTGTCAAAAAGATAGTGCAAGCGACAGGCGGGGTTGTAATGGTGTGGGGTGTGTTCCGTTGCTTTGGTTTTTGTCTAACTGTTAAAATTGATGGAAAACTGAACAGTGTAGGCTATATGCAGCTAGTTAAGGGACATGTTCTTCCATATTTGACTGACCAAATGCCACCTGGAGTTATTTATCAATAAGATAATAGCACATTCACAAAGCCGAAAAAGTAATGCAATTTTTTGATCACATTAATATGGATGCCATTGAGTGGCAGTCACAGAGTCCGGATCTTAATCCGATTGAAAATTCATGGAATTATATTTCTAAAAGTGTTCATATAAAAAAAAAAAAAACAAATTTAGCCCAATTATACGATTATATTAAGCAAATATGGCAGAACATAATATTTTTTTGCTCGATGCCTTGGCGATGTGAAGCTGTAATTAATAATAAAGTAAACGGTACGAAATACTTCTGCAAAAATATATATATATATATATATATATATATATATATATATATATATATATTTGCTCATTTTACTATAATTTTTGTCTTAAATATAATAATACCCATGCGGTCTTAAAATTATTTTGCCGGCAAATTTGGATAATTTAAATTAATCCAACATTAAAATTTTACAAGTTGTAGACAAATATATAATTTTCCCATCGTTTAAAAGAGAAATAAATTCTGCATAAAGCTTACACAATGAAACTAATTTATACCATTTTATTAGAAACATATTCTGAAATAAATAAAACTTTACCTCTGGTCTTAAAATTATTTTGCCGGTTTATATTGAATAATTTAGACAAGTTCTGTCAGCTTATTTTCAAAGATCTGTTCATATCCTTGAATGAACATTTGGTGGCGGTATTAAAAGAAGAGATAAAACTACCGTGTTGATACATATAGTTTTACTCCGAGGGTGTGTTTTTTTAAAATAAAATTATAAAATTATGCTGGCACTACTACGATCACGTTACCTCGCCGGTTGATTTTTCGTTTGAATGATATATCTAACATTTGTAAACATTTACAAGAAGATGCTTGTCTGCATTCGCACTTTAGAAAAATTCTTGTCAAAAATACATCCATGATTTTTCATGAAAATAATAAGTATAAACTAAAAATCATTGAAGCTATCAATTGCGTCCAGCATGAAACAACCTGTCGCCTCTGAGTGTTGACTTCAATGTTCACTTTTATATTTATATTTACATAGATAGATAGATAGATAGATAGATAGATAGATTGGTTATAGTGTCACTTGCTAACGTTTTTTCATTTATTATAGACTTTCTTCTGGTTCTTGTTATTACGTTTACTTATGATTATCTACGCGTTCATGGAATGTTTACTATTTACTTAATCTACTTATTTATTGGTTTGGATTAACTTATTTTACTTAATTTTATTTATTTATTTCATTTTATTTTTTTATTTATTTTTGTTAATTTTTCGTTTCTTATTTCCGATTTTTAAGTCACGTAGTAAAAATTTGTTTTCGTGTCTGCATTTTGAGATGAGTGTTTATTAAGTAGTATGTGCTAATCATTTATTCAGTAGTATGTGTTGGTCTGGGAAGGTAATTATAGCTATTTTCTCCTCCCAAAACATAAGAGTTACCGCCACTAAAACAACCGTAAGAACAAAATAAGAGATCACCCACAAAACATCACTGTATATATAAAAAACACAACACTGACGATTGCATATAAGCATGATACAGATGGCCACCGTGGGTTGTCGACTTCAATGTCTACTTATATATATAAATATATATATATATGTGTGTGTGTGTGTGTGATTTATTCGAAAATTATAATATAAATCATACTTAGTATAAAACCCAGGTTGTGTGTGTGTGTGTGTCTGTACGTTTATATATTGGATCGGATTTTCTACATTTTCCAACCGATTTCAACAAAACTTCGCAGGACTACGTAAAATTACCTTGCGGTGGTTCTGACAGTGCCAAAAATTGGAAAAACACAATTGTTTTTGCACGAAATCAGTTTGAAAACACGATTAAGAGGCATCGCGAGAATGAAAGGGGGACAACTCATATCGAGTTATACTTAAAACCCAGGTTGTGTGTGTGTGTGTTCGTTTATATATGGGATCGGATTTCCTACATTTTTCAACCGATTTCAACAAAACTTCACTTTTTTTTAGCAGGTAGTGTTTCTTATTGTCTTGCACACTTTTTTCTTTATTTTTACATTCAGAATGCTTTAAAAATTACATTTACAAGAGAATTGTTTATAATAAAATTCTATTCAATCGATAGACTCATAACGATTGAAAACAATGTTTTTGTTTGTGTTTGACCAATTCGTAAAAAATGAAAAAAAATGAAAAAACTAATTAAGACATGCGTGTCCGTCAACCTTAAACAATAATCTTTGTCAATTGTATGTTCTACAATCACTAAGTCATTTTTGTTCCAACATTTCTGGTGTCTTACCAAGTGATGGTGTTGAATGTAAAATAAAAGATTTTAAAAGGTTCAAATCAATCAAACAGCCTTCGCCAGGCGAAACGCTGTTACATAAGCTGCAAAGTAGATGAGAATTCAAAAAACTTGACAATGAACCTTGGTTATAATAATTAATGCTTTAATGTCAGAGTTAGACTAAAATAGAAACCATTCTGATTAATATTAAATTTTACTATAAAATTAAAAAAATAAAAATTACCAATCTTAAATTTTAAATTTAATCTGTATTAAGTTTAAAATATTATAAAATTATTTAAAGAACAAACTGAGGGAAAAATACATGTTTTTTAATTTACTTTGTTTTAATTGAAAGGCCAAAACTTCAGTTAGAATAAACGTTAAAATCTAATACTGTGCAAAGTTTCGTTACAGATTAGATACATTTAAAGTGATGATATATATATATATATATATATATATATATATATATATAGAGAGAGAGAGAGAGAGAGAGAGAAAGGAACAGAGAGGATGTAATGGATACATTTGCGTCTAAATGACGCAAAAATGAAAAAAAAAAACGATGACATCTCATTCTTACAGATATATTTACCAAAATTACACAAACATATCTTGAAATACTAAAGAGTAACTTTATACAATTAAATCGCCATTAGCTTCAACCACGACCTCCAGACGACTTTGAAATCTCCTGCAACTCTTCTGGATGGACTTGGTGAATGCTGCCATAATCCTTGCCTTCAGGACATCTTTGGTGTTACAAGGAGTTTAGTTGGTTTCTTGCTCAACTGCGCCCCATACAAAATAATCAAGGAGGCTGCAGTCTGTGAAGATAGGTGGCCAGACATAAGGGGTGAGGTGGTCGCAGATATTGCCCTGGAGCCAGATATAGGGTCTTCCAGCAGCCACCTCCTTGACCCAGGGTGCCACTAGGTCAGTTGCTAGGCCCTATGGAAAGATGAATGGAGGCATACGGTTGCCATCACTAGTGATCACTGCAATCACCTTCGTGATCACCATTAGACTCAACCAACTTTTTTTTTTCCAATCCACTACACTGTCCTTGGAATGACACCCAAACACACTGAAATGTTCGTATTGGAGATACCGGCACGAATTTCAAGCAGTGCAGTAAGCTTTTCCCAAATTCTGGCGGAGTGAATTGCGTCATGGTGTTCTTTTTCTCATAGACGGTACCCAATTGACCCTACTATACAGAGCAGTCGACAAAATCAAAAACAAACGACGCGCGCGCGGAATTAAAAATATAAAATGGCCTCAATTCATCCATCGCAACTTTACATATGTGTGTTTTTGTGTGTGCTGCGCGCTCATAACTTAACAGTAAACAAAAAAGAAAACAAATAAAAATTAAAGTTCAGTGGGTACAGTGTTTTAGGTTTTTTGTTTTTAGTTTTTTGTTTTTTAGTTTTTTGTTTTTTAATTTCTGTTTTAGTTAATTTTTAGTTTTTTGTTTTTTTTAGTTTTTTGGGGTTTTTTTTAGTTTTTTGTTTTTTAGTTTTTTGTTGTTTAGTTTTTTTTAGTTTTTTAGTTTTTTTAGTTTTTTGTTTTTTGTTTTTTAGTTTTTTGTTTTTAGTTTTTTGGGTTTTTTTTTTAAGTTTTTTTAGTTTTTTGTTTTTCATGCCGAAATTTTATTTTCTTTCAAGATTTGGTATTGTATTTTTTTTTTTTTTTTTTTTTTTTTTTTACAATGAAAATTTATTACCGGTAAATTTTTTTTTAACGCATTTTTTTATTTACATGTTTCGATCCTAGTTTAGCGGTTTACTCTTTGCTCTTATTTGAGACTCTAACAGGTGCTACTACCCCAGGTCAGAGTGTACCTGGGAATAGCACCGATTAAGAAGTACTGCCATACTCTTTAAAATCTCCCGATCATAGGCCTTGCTGCCGGATGAAGTTTATCGTCATACCCAGAACGTTAGAGTGCTTTGGCTGAAAAAGATAATTTGTTTAAAATTACGTGGATAGGCCTAGTATTATGTTACCCTATATTTACTTATAACACAGTACTCATTGTGATTGTATTTAATTCATTTAGTGTATATGTTACCCGTCTAGAGTCAGTTGATGAGCTCATGGCGACAGCCCCACCCAACTAGGTGTTGTTGCTGTTGTTTCTGTATCATGCACGTTTCTATGAAGTGAAGACGTTAGTACAAATAACAACCGATTTTTTCATTCTCTTAGGCTGGTCACCAACCCGATCAAGAGAGCCGGATCTACCCTTCTATAAACCTGCAGGGAGATATGGATTTATGCCTTTATTAATGTCTATTTGTGCGAAAACGAATTCAGTGGTTCCGGTTGGAATTTGAACCCAGCACGCCGATACCGCTTTCCACATCGATGAACGCTGCACATCGAGACCGAACGTGTTTTGATGTAATCCGACAGTTATAAGATGTAGTAAAAATCCAATGTTTTCTTTATGTATATAGAAATGCCTTCTTGAAGCTATATAATGCTTTATTCTAACACAAAAATGCCAGGAAAGGCACATTTGGATTCACAGACCCTTCCTCTTAACGCTACACAGTTAGTCGTTACTGGCAGCACACTATATACCTACGCAAAGACACAACGAGGATTATACCAGGGAAGATAAGTCCAATTCTAACTTAAAGTAAGTCCCTAGAAACTTGAATTCTTTTTTTTTATTGTTATTATTATTTTAGCTTTTTCTTTTCTTCTTGGTGTTTGTTTGTATTAACTTTCGTTTTCCGGATTTTTTGTAAGTCTAAGAATTTCTATGTCTTCTTGGCTTCATTCAAACTGATATGTTTGCGGACGCATGCGCACAGGTGCAACGACGCAAATAGATCTGCGCAGATGACTGCGCAGAAGGATCAAGTGAATCCGTGGCATTTGTAAGTCGAAAAAGGAATCTAAGAAAAGCGAAAGATAATGAGAGACAGAGATAAAGTTCTCATTGTGGAGAGAGAGAGAGAGAGAGAGAGAGAGAGAGAGAGAGAGTGGATGAACGAGAGAATGAATGAGAAAGAAAGACGCAGAGAAAATGAGAAATACATGGACGGATATTTCTGACACAAGGCCAACTTTAGGACCAAACACAACATTTTTTAGATTCTAGTTTTATCAGGCTTGGAATTTTCAGCAACCCTTCTTAAATATGGATAGGATCACGTGGATAGGCAGTAAGGTTAAATGTTGTTATGCAAGTTCAAACAACGCTGTTATCAATATTCACTTCCTTTCTGTTTTAATTTTAATTGATCGCTTACGGTTGATTTTATCGCAACACAGTGTGTCAAAAAATATGACATTATTACAAATATTTTATTACTAGATTTATTCTATTTTAATGTTGGTATTTCTTATCCCAACACAATAATCAATACAATCTACATTAATACTATTATTTTATTACAAGTTTTATGCCGGCTTATTGTTGCTTTTTGCACCAAAAGTTTGATCAACAAATTCTCCTATATAACGATTATTTTATTACTAGAACCTCTTATTACTGTTTTTTATCCCAACACATAGTTCAATACACGCTTCATTATTACTATTACTTTATACTGGTTTTATTCTCACTTACTATTTTGCTTTTTATTAAAACACTATCGTCGTAGACACTTCATGAGTAATATTATTTTCACTTTTTACATTATTCGGACTATTGTAATAAAGAGTGCCAGAGAAAAGCGAATAATAACAAAAAAATTGCAATATGAGCTCTGGTAAAAACATGAGGGATAACAGCAAAAAAAAATCAAGATGACCACGGTTAAAAAAAACTGTTGCTGAAGACATAATACCCAGAAATTCAAACGCAGATGTCCTCAAGGACACATGGCATAGTGGATAAAGGCGTTGGTTAGATCCACCGACAGTACACAAAGAGTGTGAGTTCAATACCCGGATAAGGCAGTGGAGAACTTGGAGGAGGGGAGATGACTGACATTCATTAGACACGGCACGTGGCAGTGAGCGAAATAAAGAGTTCGACATTCCAACCACCTGAAGAAGGCTATGAAGATGATTCAGACAAGCAGATTGAAAACTGCCGCGTCCACTCTTTATATAATATTTATTTATTTATTATTATTTTTTTTTTTTTTTTTTTTTTTATATATATATATATATATATATATATATATATATATATATATTCAATAAGGTGAATAATGATTCTGTTTAGAATCAGTCTAACTAGGATGTTGCCTACAATTGAAAGAAGTGATATACCCCGATGATTATCACATATATATATGTTCAGATCTATGTATGTTTTATCGATATATCTCAATCTGTCAGATTTGTCTGTCTATCAATCTCTATTAAACAGAAATTGTAGGGACCCTAAAATTTTGATTGACATTTCAGGTGTCTGATGTTTTTTCACATATCAATTTGTCGACTTTATTCATTTTCCTTATCTGTCTCTATACCAATCCATTCATCTACCATTTTGTTCATATCTATCTCTCCTGTTCATTATCTAGCATTTTATTATATATATATATATATATATATATATATATATATATATATATATAATCCTGCGCTTGATGTTTGTGGGGGTCCTCATACAGAAGCCATATTGACCCTCCTCAACGGTTTATCAACGGCAGCCATCAACAATTCTGGTATAGTCATTCTTCTTCATTGTTTGACATTGTCCAGGCACTTTTTACATTGGTGTCCGCTCCTACGTCCAGCTTCAACGATACCTTGCATGTTGGTCTTCCACAGGCTGTCATGTCTTGTAACGTGTCCAAACCATGCCATCTTCTCCGTTTGACAGTGTCGAGGTTCCTGGTGTCCCACAAAACATACAACCCTTTTCCGCACACACTCATTGGTTTTATGTTCCCGATAGAAAATACCAAGGGATTTTATCCTGCTTTTGTTCTCAAACGCTTTGACCCATCTTTGTATTTTTACGAACAGTTTCCACATTTCAGATCCATATAGAATGGGGACTACCTGCAATTTGTACATTGGAATTTGTGCCCACAGGAAGGAAACATACATTTAAACAAAACGGACGTCATGCTATACCTTAGGTACCTTTCGACCAACACTTTTTCAAAGGTATAGGGTGGCAAGTTTGAACACAAACAAAGACACACTCAATATAATAAATGAGGAAGGAAAGTTGCAACGTGATTAAAAAAGAGATAAATTTAAAATGTGTAATTATAGTTTATCTTTTGTTTTTATATATATATATATATATATATATATATATATATATATATATATATATATTCATCTATCTATCTGTTTATATTATTGAGTTCATCTATTTGCTTAGATATTTATCTATCTCTCTACGAGGGCAATGTAAAAAATTACCCGCACTTTCACTATAACATCAATTTAATTTTGGCACATCGTCATCTGCACGCTTACAGTTTGTACTATTTTGGTCATACGATGGAAGCTTGAGCGTGTTATCTTGCTGCTGTTACAGTATAAACATGACCGCTCCTCTACCAGTGTGCACCAAGGAGGAAGAATAAAGTCATCCGATTTCTTTGTTCGTAAATATGCCATTTGCTGAAATTCATCGGAGGCTTTTAACACAATATATAGACACTATACTACTGAGTAGAAGTGTGTATGTGTGGATGGAATTTTTTTTTTTACATTGTCCGGACAAGAAGGGGCAGAACGATCGTCAACATTCACCACTGACGAGATAATTTTACAAGCTCGGCAGATGGTAATGCCGAATTGGCGATTTATCAACTATGCAGTCGCATGTACTTTATCAGATTCAGATCATTGCTCTTTGTTCCTATTTTGATGTACACTGTTAGAGGAGCGGCCACGTTTACACGGCAACGGCAGCAAGAAAACTCTCACAATTTGACTATGTGACTACGACAGTAACAAACAGTAGGCAGTGTGACAAACATAAAGATACGTACGTTATGGCGGAAATGCTAATAATTTCTGACTTACACTCATAGATATCTGTCAGTCTTGATCTATCTATCTATCTATCTATCTATCTATCTATCTATCTATCTATCTATCCTAGTCTGTTCAGATCTATCCTATCTGTTCAGATCTATCTATCAATCTATCTATCCTAGTCTATCAGATCTATCTATCCCATTTTGATTAGATCTATTCTATCTATCTATCTATTCATCTATCTATTATTAGTCTGTTCAGATCTATCTATCCCATTTGATTCTATCTATCTATCTATCTATCTATCTATCTATCTATCTATCTATCCTAGTCTGTTCAGATATATCTATCCCATTTTGATTAGATCTATCTATCTATCTATCTATCTATTATCTATCTATCCTAGTCTGTTCAGATCTATCTATCCCATTTGATTAGATCTATCATCTATCTATCTATCTATCAGTCATGTATCTAGATCTATCTATCCTAGTCTGTTCAGATCTATCTATCCCATTTTGATTAGATCTATCTATCTATCTATCTATCTATCTATCTATCTATCTATCTATCTATCTATCTATCCTAGTCTGTTCAGATATATCTATCCCATTTTGATTAGATCTATCTATCTATCTATCTATCTATCTATCTATCTATCTATCCTAGTCTGTTCAGATATATCTATCCCATTTTGATTAGATCTATCTATCTATCTATCTATCTATCTATCTATCTATCTATCTATCTATCTATCTATCCTAGTCTGTTCAGATATATCTATCCCATTTTGATTAGATCTATCTATCTATCTATCTATCTATCTATCTATCTATCTATCTATCTATCTATCTATCTATCCTAGTCTGTTCAGATCTATCTATCCCATTTTGATTAGATCTATCTATCTATCTATCTATCTATCTATCTATCTATCTATCTATCTATCCTAGTCTGTTCAGATATATCTATCCCATTTTTATTAGATCTATCTATCTATCTATCTATCTATCTATCTATCTATCTATCTATCTAGTTAACTAGCCACGTTTTTTCATTATCAGTCCTTTCTCTATTTCATTCTGTTTATTCATCTCTCTATTCATCTACTTATCTATCTCATTCTGTTCATCTATCTCAGTCTATTTATTATCCATAGATAGATAAATAGATAGATAGATAATGACGAGACTGATAGGTGATCAGAAAGAGAAAAATAGAGAAGTAGATAAATTGATAGATAGACCCATCTATCTATCTATCTATCTATCTATCTATCTATCTATCTATCTCATCCTGTCCATATCTATCTACCAATCAATCAATCTTATGTTTCGTTCTCTCTCTCTCTCTGTCTCTCTCTCAGTCTATCTATCTATCTATCTAACTCATTCTGCTTCAAAATTACTATCTCATCTTGTTTCTTTTTTCTTTCTTTCTTCCTTCCTTTTTTTCTATCTTTCTATCTAGCTACCTAGCTCATTCTGTTCATCTATTTATCTCAGTCTATTCATTATCTATCAATCAATAAAACTCTCTCTCTCTCTCTCTCTCTCTCTCTCTCTCTCTCTATATATATATATATATATATATATATATATATGATCTAATTTCATTTTTGTAACCTATTGTGATTAACCAGTTTTTTTTTTTTGTTTGGATTTCTTAAGTATTTAAATATAAATTTATAAATTTTATCCTGAAGTTGAATACTTTTTTTAAGAAGATAATAATTTGCAATATATCCTGATTTAAAATTAAATAAAGTTGGAAAAATGTTTGGAAGAAAAACAAAATAGCGAAGAGTTTTGTAAAATTTTGTAATTACTAAAAAAGAAAGAAAGGTAAATTTTGAATTTATCAATCGTCCATCCCACATATTTTACTCTGAATGGCAGAAAATATTATTTTCATTTTGATGGTTATTATCGTTTTCAAAATGGAATCACGGTGAAGTAATGGATAGCGTTTCAGATTGCTGAATCGGAGTGACGAGTTCGAATTGCAGTAGGATTTATTACATTCACTTATGTGCCTTGGGAAACATATTTACCCAACCATGGATAAATAGAAGGACAAATTGAGTTCTGTATCCTTGGCTGGGACCCGGTCTAGGAGAAGGAAACCGATCTGGAGAGGGTTAGACTCCTTTAGGCTATCTTGCTGAAGAAATATCACTTTTACTGTGGCTGCAGTACACATCGTGCTCCTACGGGTCACGGGTTAAGAAAAAAGTTTTCAAGAGATCGCAAATCATTTTAATTAATTTTCCGACATCTATTTGACAATGTTAAAGTTTTCTCTGTAGCTGTTTTTCTTTTGAAATATTTCGGAATATTTTTCAGCGTGTTCATTTTAACTATATAAAGGCGTTGTTGAATAGATAGCAACCTTAGGCCGTCGTTTGAATTGAAGGTCCACTTGATGGAGCTCAGCTTTTGAAATGTCTTTGCTGTAATGTTATATATATATATATATATATATGTATGTGTGTGTGTGTGTGTGTGTATGTGTGTGTGCATGGCTGTGTGTTTATAAAATCTCTATTTCATATTAAGCACTTTTTCCAATAAGATATATTTTTAACATATATGTATGTTTGTTAGATTCTTTCATTACAACTACAGTACAATAATATACATCATTCATATATATATATATATATATATATATATATATATATATATTAATAATATATATATATTTATGCTATATATATATATATATATATATATCAAATATAAATTCTCATTATTATTATTATTATTATTATTATTATGCCTGAAAGAAATACAAAAAATGTTCTCACTAGTACAGCCCGCACATTACGAAGTGCCTTGTCTATGTAAAATAAGTTTATTTGTTTTTTTCAGTGGAAAATGTCATGATGCCATTTCTAATCCTAGGTCCATGGTCGGGACCCGGAAAGAAATGAGTACACATCAGAATTGAAAGGAAATAAAATAAAAATAATAATAATAACATTGGTGCCTGGTGCCCCTAAGCGTGTTACTAGATTTGCATCTAGATCACCATTTTATTGTTGAAATTGTTAAATTTATCCGCCACTTCTAATACAAAACTTTCTTTTCTCGCGCTTCCTGACAGTGAAACTCCCTTCCGCTTATTGCTTCCCTTACAACAACAATCTTCAAAAATTGAAATGCAACGGCAATCGCCATCTACAGTTGCCATCAACCCCGTTAATATTTTATCTTTTCCTTAATGCCCTCTATAACTAAATCTTTCTTTCACTTTCACTTTCACTTTCTCTAACCGCCTGTGTACTAGTAGCACTCCCGCCTTTCTTGGGGGTGAAATGATTTAAATAAAATAACAATCTGTGGAATCTTTCAGATGAACTCAAATTTCAAGCGAATCGCCATTTCCATGACAAAGTTTTAGATGGTTTTCATTCTTTATTTTCTCTGGTCCAGAAATTTTACTATCAAAATACATAATGCTACTTCCACGAAATAAAATCACCCAAGTGCGACGCATACAGTTTTTCTTAAGAATTTCTGCATTTTTCACAAACATCCGTGTGGGTGCTTTCCTGAACACTACAATCTTATCTTCTTCAGAGTCATTCATTATCTATCCTCCTTATCCTCATAACCTTCACATCCTACCACCTTCCATTCAATTCATTTCACTCCCGACATTCATCATTTGCATTTTACAAGTAAAATTCTACTGCGTGTGTCCCCCGCGGCTTGCATTGGCTTAACCTTTCGTATCGAAGAACATAATTAAAGGTATTATTCATAAAATATATTAAAAGCTGAAACTTTCATTATATATTGCGCATATAAATATAAGCATGCCCTGAAAACATGAACGTGAAACCCAGGATCACAAACTCACATAAACGCAACTATATATATATATATATATATATATATATGAAGAAAAATATATTCGGAAAAAACAAACAAAAATCCTTATATACAATTATGCTGTTTTAATGTTAATATGTCAATGTCGGACGTTTCGGTCTAATAAACCATCTTCAGGAGATATTCATAAATTATAACATTATCAATACAACATGACAAAGACGATGTACATAAGAAAAAGAATAACTATTAACATTAGCATAATTGTATATAAGGTTTTTTGTTTTGTTTTTTCCGTATATATTTTTCTTCATACTGTCGGGTTTATATCCATATATTTGCTTACATATATATATATATATATATATATATATATAATCGCATTCTGCTCTGACCAATGTATTTATCTACCATAGCGTACAAATTCCTCCTTGGGGAGTTCCTAACACAGGCTTATCATCTCTTAGTTGCGTCTCTGTCATTCGAAAGAGTGCGCTCAGGGGCTTCTCTGTTAAAGGACAGATGGGAAACTGAGAAAACTATACTGAAGAGGTGCCCAGCCCTAGGGAACAGCTGCCCGAAGGCGTGGCCTCCCATTACCTCCAAAGTGAGGAATCGGTGCTTGCACCGAGGTCAGCGCAACCGAAGGTTGCTGGGGATTTGGGCAATTTTCGTCCCTTGCCCGGGTTTACGCGCTCGGGTCCCCACATTAAAAAGACCTTACGTCACATCTCGTCCTGGTGGGGGAAAGAGTAAATACCGTATCTATCTACCACATTCTTTTTATATCTATCTGCCTATTTAACTATCCAAATTTAATCCTGTATAATCGAAAGAATTTCGAGATTTGAATTCATATAAAACATTTTAAAAAATATGTCGTTTGGCGTATTTCCGTTTCAGAAGACTTCTTAGTCACCACGTTCTACTCGTTTTCTATGTCATTTCTAGATTTTCAAGGAAGCAAATCAATTTGACAGATTTCCCCTTCTCGTGCTAATGTTTTCCAATGACAAGTGGAATGATTATATTGAAACAATTGCTAGGCCTCCTGCTATGACAGTTCGCTTTGCATTCGTGACAATTTTACTTCTCAGAATGCATCTTGCATATATTTATACGTCTATCGTTCGTGAATGCATGTAATATTGTTGTCACATCTGGTCTGGTGCTTCTGTTATGCATCTAAAGATTCTTGACAATATCGTAAGAATAATCTGCAATGTTATGTGTCCTGTCCCGGCACCTCAGATTGAGTCCTTTCCCTTCACTGTAAGATATCGTCTTTCTTTCTTTTTCTAGAAGTATTTTCATGGAATTTGTTCTGATCAGCTTTCCTCTTTGGTATCTCGAATTTTGGTATTTTAGTGCAAGTACTACACTGACAGGTACGTCTTTTCATTGTACTGTTAATATATATATATATATATATATATATATATATATATATATATATATATATATATAAGCATTTCACTCCAAGCAAGGCAAGAAGCCCCGAGCACGCAAGAGGTTACAGAGGATTTCGAGCGAGAGCAGATAGGAGTGATAGAGGAAAGGATGAGGAGAAGGATAGTGGATAGATCAAGGCAACTGGAGATGTCGATTGACATTGCATTTGAATAGTTGGAGATTATAGCTGTTAGGGAAACAGGAAAAGGAAAGGTAGTTCCACAGGCGAGAGTTGCGAGATATGAAGCTATTGGAGTAGAAGAGACGGCTACATTTAACAGTTTCAACAGTGAAAGGGTGAGAGTGGGATGCCAGCCTCGTAGGACGCTTGATTTCATGAAGTCTGGGAAGCAGAGAAAGCAGCTCCTCGGATTACCATGAAAGTATTTGTAGACGAATCAAGCCGAGCTTCTCGACTTGACGGTCGAACTCTCTGCTTTTGAGCAGAAAGGAACCCGGACGAAGTTCCGCCGAAGGGCAGAATCTCGTTCGGGGAGAATGACCTACCCGATCTCGTTTATACGGGTTATACGGGCATTTTTTGGCTGAGCCTACGGGCTCGGGAAACCCACGATAAACTCGGCCTCGTGGAGGGTGGCTAGATACCGAAAGTATTTGTAAAAAAAAGATAGAGAGAGGCGACGGCACGTCTTTGAGAGAGCGACTGCAGACGATATGCCAGATCAGGGCCAATTATATTGCATATCCGTCTCTGGAGCCTATCAAGAACCCCTAGGCAAACAGAAGGGGCTTCAGACAATATATGGCAGCAATACTCCATGCAAGGGCGAATGGTTGATTTGTAGATTTGAAGGATCGATTCCGGGGAGAAAAATTTCCTGGCGTGGCACAGGGAGCCAACTTTCCTTGCGGTGGAAGAATCAAAATTGACTCAATATTACCATAAAGCCTATGATGACAGTCTCTTTTTAATATTATTCACGTGCGGATAGTTCTTCTTTTTCATAATTCAAGCGATTAGATTGTACAAATGTGAATAGGAAAACAGACACATCATTATATTGATATTATGAGCCTACTGAGATAGATATACACAGATTGGTAGCTGCACGGATAATAAGGAAGAGACTAGATAGATAGATAGATAGATAGATAGATAGATAGATAGATAGATATGTATGCATGAACAGATTAAGATCCAGTGACAGGACCCAAAGAGTATGAGT